AGGGTCTGCCCCACCCTTGCAGACTTGGCCCCTGGGTCATAACTTTGAAACGGTTGAGATCCCCACCCCAAAACTATATATACAAATGCTTGGCAAAAAGAGACAAATGCATTCACGATATTAGAATCGATCCTTGAGTCTGGCAACAACTCGAGGGACCTAGTTTCTGAGTCAAAGCTTGGAAACAGTTGAGATCCCCACCTCATAACCATACATAAAATTGCTGGGCATGAAAAATCTAATATAGCTATGCTACAAGGATTGGCCTTGGGGTCTGGCATATTCCCTTGATCTCATTTGGAGAATAGTTTGCCATGATTGCTTAGGTATCCAGGTGAGCGATACAGGCCCTCTGGGCCTCTTGTATTATTTCACCTGGAGTAACCATATTTGGTTGCAAGGACATCTTGGGATGGCCAAGTGCAAGAAGTAGGTCACTATGACCTCACAGTGATCTATGCTTTGACCTGTGACCTTACCTTTAACAAAACAACTTAACCATTACAGAGATGCCTTTAATGTTGTATTATGTATCGGGATACTTTCCTAACAGTAGGTGCATCCTGACATAAGTGTACTTTTTGTTAAACATAGAAATCATTACTGGTGGGGGGACTACGGATTGCCTTGCAATGCTTTGCCTTGTTTAAAATGACTTTCAAGTGACTTATATTCTTGACCTATTCTGATCGCATTTCGTACGTCGTCCGTAAACTTTTTACATTTTCAACTTCTTAAGAACCAGAAGATCATTTTTTTTTCAAAATTGGTCAGAATCATCCTTGGTATATGTAAAATTAGGATTCCTACCCCAACCCCAGGGACCAGGGTGGGGCCCCAAAGAGAAAATATTTCAAAAATCTTCTCCAGACTCTGAGGAAGTACAGTCAATTTCTCTGCATGGATGGAAAGATCGTCAAGGGCTTTATGTAAATTGTACATTTCAGTACCCCCGAGCTATCCGTTCTCCCTTTGGTAGGGGGTCAAGTTTACTATAGTTTATATAGGGAAATAACACTTTTGGGTATATTTTGTCAATTTTCTATAGGAAATCATTCTTACCTGTTGAGAATCATCCTTGAAGGAAGATGGTATCATATTGGTATCATATTGTAAAATTGGGATTCCTGCCTCAACCCCAGGGGCAAGGTATCATATTGTAAAATTGGGATTCCTGCCTCAACCCCAGGGGCCAGGGCAGAGCCCCAAAGAGAAAATTAACCAATATTTCAAAAATCTTCTTGAGACTCACAGGTACTACAGTCAATTTCTCTGGATGGGTGGAAAGATGATCAGAGGCTTTATATTGTAAATTTCAGTACCCCCGGGCCATCTGTTCTCTCTTGGGGAGGCGGTAAAGTTTACAATATTTATATAGGGAAATAACACTTTTGGGCATATTTTGTCAATTTTCATCTGGAAATTATTAATACTTGGTTAGAATGATTATGATGCCAGATGGCAATTAGATGGAATGAGAAAATCAGATACTGCCACATCCTCAGGGACTGGAGGGGTGGGGCCCGAATGGGGAAAATTCAAAAATACTCTTCATGGATAGAAAGGTCCTAAGTGTATCATCGGTTTCCCAGGGGTTGGCCAGAGAGGAAAATTGGCTAAATAACAATAGATGTTATATTTCTCAATAGCAAAATCATTTATTTGAATAGTTTTTAAAGTTCTTAACCTTTGGTGACAAGTATTGTATTTCACTTTGTTTACATGTTGATTTCCACATGTCAACAGTACCTATAATATAACTCAGGTGACCACTTGGGCCTCTTGTTATGAAACATGATGGCCTGTATGTCTCCTTTGGCACTGATGATTAAGCAAGTCTCNTATAAAAATAAAACTGTACTAAAATTGGTATAAGCATGATGAAGTGGGCTATGTGAGCTTCACATTTGTAAAAAAGAAAGAAGATTTTTTTGGTTCGAGAATAAAATTTTGGCCATAATCCGAAAGGGTGCGTACACATGAAAAGCTAGCTTTACAGGAGGTAAAATTTTGACAACAGCACACGACGCAAAATTGCAAAAAATCAAGTTTTACAACTTTACTGGGACCCAGATAATTCTGCAACCAGGTAGGTAATCTTTAATTTCAGACAGAGCTTAATCACTAGTTGCGGGGGTCAAGTTTTGGGTTAAAAATAGCAATTTTGGCATTTTTTGGTAATTTTTGATGTGGTAACCATGGTTTTCACACAAGTGACAAACATAGAAAAAAGAGGTTTATACACTTCTCAGTACTTAATATGGATTGTAAATGTAAGGCAGTTTACAAATATATATACATGTATACATGTGTTGTGTAGGGTAAATCCACTGTGTTTACATTTCCTCAACATGTGCCTTGTTTATCAGAGTCGGGCCATTTCTACTGTATACTGCTACCTGAATTGTATATGTTGAAATCGTTGTAAGAGATTGAGGATGATGATGGCAAATGTTGTGTATTCAGGGTGATGCTGAAGAAAAAGGTCCTGGTAAAGAACTGGTGGACATTGCAGCAGAAGCCCAGAGTTTACAACCAAAAGGTTACACACTTCAGACCACAGAGGTAAGATCATGGCCTGATTGAAGCATGTTTGAAAAGGGATCACACTACAACATTGCTTACATGTGCCATTTCCTTATATATTTATATAAATATTCTTTTCTTACAAAAAGTGGAAAAACAACTGTAGATTCCATCTTATTTTATCAAACAAATATCATTGAATTTTGATAGCTGTTGTATCTTTTCTGTTTTACAAGATTTCATTGACATTATTTCATCTCCACTTTTAGATGTGAATAGTTTCAAATATGAATGTATTGTAACTGGCTTATTTGTGTTGTTTATGTCCTTCGTTTTTAATTGAGGTGTGTTATTTCTGAAAATGCATTGTTTTGATATACCGTAAAAACTCGTGTAATTTGCGCTTGTACTTTTTTTGGCTGAAAATACTGATAAAAGCATCTACTCGTATATTTTGCGCATCAATTTTCCCCCTCAAAAACGATGTCCAAAATGCCCGGAAAATTGACCCCCGACACGAAACTTTGATACAAATATCCACTTTCTAATATCATTTATTAATTAAATGTTTATAAATTTAATTACTTAAAATCTTGATGCAGATGCAAATCAATGTTTGTTTTCTTTAAAGCATGCCGTAACATCAGACTGAACACGTGCGCATTTCGGCACACACCAACCCAACTTACATAAACATTCATTGTCTTGCACAACCCTTCACAAGTAATTATATATAATGTTTAGTGTAGTAATCATAGATTCCTACCTCAAGTTGAAAATTATTAGTAGACACCTATTATGACCCTAATTATTATCCCCCACAAAATGTGTTACCATGGAAACAGATAGGCATTATCCGGACCAGAGCTCTGAAACCGTTTAAGATAACTACTCAAAACTTTGTACAGTTATCAAGCTAGTACTCAAGTAGTGCCTTTTGCTATGGAGAAGTTCTCCATTTAGCACTTTTTCTGCTACCATGGAAACAGATAGGCCAAATTACAAATTTCAGTTGTATGGATCACGACTCCAAAATCGCTCCAAGATAACTACCTGAAACTTTGTATAACTATCAAGCTAGCATTCTGGTAGTGCCTTTTGCTATGTAGTTTTTTTTTTTAATTTTATTTTTTTTGAATTGGTTACCATGGAAACAGATAGTGTTTCCGGAGTAAAATGTCAAAACCTTTCAAGATAACCTTTTTGTACCTGAAACTTAGTCCACTTATAATCCTATCACTCTAGTTGGGCAAAATTACACATTTCACGGTTTCCAGTTGACACTAGTATTTTGGCTTACAGGACAAAGGGCTTCCCCACCATAGTTGGAGACAATAATACAAATTATATTTGATAATATCCATGAATGATTTATAGCTCATCACCGACAAAATATGGAGTGTGATGTTTTCTCAATCAAACAACACCAGATATTTTATCAGTACAGTACTATTGAAACATGATGTGGTGTGTTCATGACAGGAATTGAAAGACAGGTTGGTTACGAACTTGTCACACATTAATTAATTTTTAAAATGCAGTGTTTCTGTATCCTGTTTTATCTTGTGAAGATGATGGGCCTATAAATTTGCTGCCAAAATGTTAGCCGCTGAGAACGTAATTGATATGCATCTACCGTAAGAGGATGGTGTTTGCCAACTTCATTTTGATTTTTTGATTAATTTAATAACTTAAGTTAATTGCCTTATCAATTCATATAGCAGCACAAATATCTATTTTGCATCTTTTATTAATTTTTAATTCAGAATAAATAGTTAAATGCTCATCTGTCTGCAAGTTCTGTGTACAAACAGATCCAGAGAAAGTCCCGTCTTTTCAAGATGGTGGACCATGCAATTCGTCAATCTTTCTTAAAAAAATCCTGAAAACGTCTATAGCTATGTAATTTGCACACCCCCTACTTCAAACTTAGATTAACACACAAAAACTGCACAAATTACACTAGTTTTTATGGTATATTAACAAAGATTTGTAGAAATGGACTAATGATCAACAGAGATATAGTCACAATAGCCATGTTATAGTTCCAGTGTATTGGGATTTGAAACCTTGTGGTATGAGCTTTTGTGAGTAGGCTCAAACCATGTGTTATTGTCTACATGTCGGGTAAACATGTGTGTATGTTCCTTTCCAGGTAAAGACCAAGGTGCCCTTCCTCATCAAGCATACACTGAGAGAGTACCAGCATGTTGGGTTAGACTGGCTGGCCACCATGTATGAAAAGCGTCTCAACGGAATCCTTGCTGATGAGATGGGTCTGGGCAAAACCATTCAGACCATAGCTCTTCTAGCCCACTTAGCCTGTGATAAAGGTAGTCTTAGTCACATAATCCTCTAGCAAAGTGTATAATTTTGTGGAGAGATATCATTTTACACAAATGTTAACTATTAAAGACTCCACCACTCATAAATTATCAGAAGTTCCTCCCAGCCCACCAAATATTCATGTGTGGAATAACTATTATGTTGTAATTTTTTGTAAAGAGTGTATTGTTCATTGCTTGTTTGTTACACATTCCTTTAATCAACTTGGTTTAAAGCAACCTAATGGACTTAATGAAATATCTGTAATTGCCTTTCAGACAAGTTCATTATTATTACTTTTTTAATGTTTTCCAACAACTTTGTTACAAATAGTAATGAAAAACAAAAATGAGTAAGGAAATGAATTCTTCCCAGCTTAAGGTGCAAGTTTTCCTTTAGAGTTGGCAGAAATGTATAACAAGACATCTGTTGTAGGTATCTGGGGCCCACACTTGATCGTTGTGCCCACCAGTGTGATGCTGAACTGGGAGATGGAAATCAAGAAGTGGTGTCCGGCCTTCAAGATCCTCACCTACTATGGCAATCAGAAGGAGAGGAAACTGAAGCGACAGGTATCTACCCAGTGTTTTTGCCGAATTTTAACTTAAATGAATAGCACTTCATTTTTTTAACAAGTGGTATGTTCATGATCATTTTTATAACAAGTGGTGTGTTCATGATCATTTTTATAACAAGTGGTGTGTTCATGATGAAGATGTGCATACAGGAACATACAAGACAAAATTTAAGTGGCAAAAGCATCTTTCTCAAGAAACTACTTTATATGATATTTTGAAATTGACATGGGCATGTTGTATTATGCTCAACAACATTTCTGTCCTACACCAAAATAAAAGGGTCTGTTATAATCTGCTTGAAATTTCATTGATAAGAAATTTATGCTTGTGAAAGAGCTATTCTGACCTGGAGCGTACTGCTTTCCTGTGACAGGGTTTGTTTTTATTTGGTATGTAATGAACAAACTTTATGCAGCTGTAAAATTGCAAGAAAAGTAAACTTGAATTATTACAATTAATGCAGTTCTTTATGAAACATTCTTTTTGTACGCCCGTCAAATGACAGGATGTGTTATGTTAAAAGTCCTTGAAAACTTTTTTTGGCCTTGAAACTCCTTGAATTTAGCTAGAGGGCCTTGAAAAGTCCTTGATTATTACATTTTCAACAATTTCGAATGTTAACTGCGTCTCATATAAATATATAAAAAAAATCGTTAATTTTCGCAAACTTGATGCTATCATTCTGATTATCGGCGTCGTTGGGTTAAAAGTTTTGGGTTCCGATCCGGGGCTTTAGTCACCACCACTGCGTGATTGAAGGGAGGTAATTCATGATGCGCAGTGTATATATATACATCCGTCTGTTGATTCAATGTGGGTGAGTCATGATCATAATTACGTAGTAATCGTTATATATACAACAGGAAGTGGGAGGGGACTTAACTGGGCCAGGGAAGTTAAATGTGACCGTTTTAAAGTTCACTGTTCGTTGAATGGGAGAGTCGGCATTGAATGAAAAGTCATGCGAAAGGTGTGAAACATCAACATGCTCAGGGCGTCATTTCAAAAAAAAAAACATTACTTGGCATGAAAGTTGAGAAAACTGAATGGGACTGAATTGGAGGAGGATATTAACGATCTTAGAAAAAACTAAAGCAGTCCCAACAGGACCAAGAACCGCTGTAAAAATCAGCAGATGTGTTGTCCCTTAGGGCGGAGACGGGGTAATCTTACCCACTTGTCCCATTCTAATTCTTGCCCTTAGGGCGGAGACAGGGGAATCTTGCCCACTTGTCCCATTCTAATTCTTGCCCTTAGGGCGGAGACAGGGTAATCTTTCCCACTTGTCCCATTCTAATTCTTGCCCTTAGGGCGGAGACAGGGTAATCTTTCCCACTTGTCCCATTCTTATTCTTGCCCTTAGGGCGGAAACGGGGTAATCTTACCCACTTGTCCCTTTCTAATTCCTGCCCTTAGGGCGGAGACAGGGTAATCTTGCCCACTTGTCCCATTCTAATTCTTGTCCTTAGGGCGGAGACGGGGTAATCTTACCCTCTTGTCCCATTCTAATTCTTGTCCTTAGGGCGGAGACGGGGTAATCTTACCCTCTTGTCCCATTCTAATTCTTGTCCTTAGGGCGGAGACGGGGTAATCTTACCCTCTTGTCCCATTCTAATTCTTGTCCTTAGGGCGGAGACGAGGTAATCTTACCCACTTGTCCCATTCTAATTCTTGCCCTTAGGGCGGAGACAGAGTAATCTTACCCACTTGTCCCATTCTAATTCTCTTCGCAAGAGTGCAAAAAAAAAAAGTTGAACAGTGCAAAACCTCGACAAACTTGATTGAAGAGAAGGTTTAAGCTCTAAAGGACTGTTGATCTAGAGAACACAAAACAAAGCATTATTAAAACGTCTGAATTTATTTATTGGTTATGTTGTCTGTAGTCATAGACTGTAGATTCAAATTTTGTATATACAAGGACCTAATATTTCATTTGAAAATTGCCTTGAAAAAGGTGAAAAGGTCCTTGAAAAGTCCTTGAATTTTAAATTGTTTGAAAAAGTTTGTATGAACCATGCGTTATCATGTAGGCGGTGGGTGTTTGGGCCAAACGGTGTCCGGTCGATATCACGAGTGATTTTCAATGGATTAACTTCAAACTTCATAGGAAGGTTCTTAGCCATTATAGCTCGGACAAGTTCGACAACCACCATTGTCCAACCATAATTTATGGAGTTGTAGCCCTTTATGTACAACCATTCAGACAACTGCTCATATAATGTCTCGACGGGCGTAATATGTTTCGTTATTGTATACCTAATTTAGTCAAATTATTTTAACAATATTTTGATGCAGGACTAATCACAGAATGTATTTGGAACAGATCTAATTTCAACACATCTATTCCAGGGTTGGACCAAAACCAATGCCTTTCATGTGTGTATTACCTCGTACAAACTTGTAATCCAAGACCACCAGTCTTTCAGGAGGAAGAAGTGGAAATACTTCATTCTGGACGAGGTGGGAGCTCTTGTCATACACCAAATTTCGTTTAAAAAATGAAATTAAAGTGTCAAATCACATTGAAGTTCTTTCAATAAGGTATTTGGTTAAAACTTAAAAGTTCAGAAAGTACATCTGCATGAAGTTGATGAGACAAATGATAGCCTGCACGTCGTTGTGGCACTGTGGATTGAGTAAGTCTCGTACATCAAAATCTGATGTTGTTAGGTGATGCAGTAGACTGTGTCTAAACATGAACATCAGAAACATGAGTGATGTTGGGGTTTCATGTGTACTAGCTGATATATTCACTGATGAACAGATCATTCAATAACATGAAAGCGGAATGCTATTGACAAGACAAAGATATAGAAAACCTTATTTCGTTCATATTAAAAATCTTAAACTGAACTGTAAAAGTGAGAAAATGCACTGTGAATGATTTTCTCTTTCATGATTAATGAGAAGCTGAATTTGTCTCTTGATAAAAAATAAATCATCTTTCATTCCTTACACTCTCAGAAATTATATGATATTGATCAAAACTAAATCATTCAAACTTTTTTTACAGGCTCAGAATATAAAAAATTTCAAGTCCCAGCGTTGGCAAACATTGCTGAATTTCTCAAGCCAGCGCCGCCTGTTGCTAACTGGTACGCCTCTCCAGAACAATTTGATGGAACTTTGGTCCCTGATGCACTTCCTCATGCCAAATGTGTTCCAGTCCCACCGCGAGTTCAAGGAGTGGTTTGCCAACCCCCTCACTGGTATGATTGAGGGCAGCCATGAGTACAACGAAAGCCTCATCAAACGTTTACACAAGGTGAAATGTCCACGTTTTACACAACCTCGGCCTGGCTGAGATTGTACCCATCCTGCGACATGAATATTGTCCAAATGCAATATTAACCTTCTCCAAACAAAATCCCAATCTGTATATTGTTTTCAATTGTTGTAATAAGATATTGGTGTAAATAGATTGATCATATGGAAATTATTTGGTTTTCAGATTGAATTTTTTTTCTTGTAGCTTTTACCAGAATCATAAATGTATTTTTGTTTTGCTATACTCATGAATGAATTGGGGAAAAATCTAGAATATAAAGTGGTAGGGTAACACTCTAATTAATGTCTATAATGACAGCAAAATGTATTTATATCGAATCTCTTATCATTTATAAATATTAACTTTCAGGTGCTTCGACCGTTTTTGTTGCGGAGGTTAAAAGCGGATGTGGAAAAACAAATGCCAAAGAAATATGAACATGTAGTCATGTGTCAACTGTCAAAGCGTCAACGTTTCTTGTATGATGACTTCATGTCTCAGGGCAAGTAGGTACCAAATTCTGACATGGTTATGTGCATTAATAGGCCTCTTGTCCATCAGTTAAACAAGTGAACAAATGTTAGAAACAACATGTATGACATTACTCCTTAGACTGGATGTACGGTGATACACAGATGTTAGAAACAACATGTATGACATTACTCCTTAGACTGGATGTACGGTGATACACAGATGTTAGAAACAACATGTATGACATTACTCCTTAGACTGGATGTACGGTGATACACAGATGTTAGAAACAACATGTATGACAATACTCCTTAGACTGGATGTACGGTGATACACAGATGCAAAGCATTGTGTTAAAATAAGGCTATAGATAAAAACATTGCAATACTCTTTTAAGTATTGCAATATAAAACATTTTCACAAATTTATATCAAACATTGTGTATAGGTACATCATGGAAAGGGGGTATTTTGCAGCATAAAATAAGGTCACTGTCCTCCATCTGACCTTTTTTACCTGACCATAAATACAATGTTTTGCAGGTTTTCCCAGCATATCTATGAATGGGCTTCAAATTTTGTAGATTTGCAGGGAGTTGGGATGTCCATGAAGTCCATGCTTCACGTTGAATCTATTTTTTTCCAAATGTTGATGATATTTTCCCAAATTCTCCTTTAGGGGTTCTTCCTCAAAATACCTGGCAACCCCTGTCAGCCTAATGCCTGTTGAGGGAGTCGAGACATAGAGTCACCAAGTCACTTGTCTGTAGTGTCTGTGGTGCTAATGTAACTCGGACATAAAAGCAGCATTTTGCCCTGGTCACTCTCGTCTTAGACTGACCAGTTTCCTATTGGCTGGCTACAATTTATATTATCTCCTGATGTTCGGTTTGGTATGCCATGGATCGACCAGTGGCATCATAGCACAGAAGCGATCTGTTTCTCAAAACATGACACAGAATTGTATTTATTATTATCAGTAATTGCTACCAGGAACAGAAGTGATTTTTTTCATTGTATGACATGGTATACGAGTGATTTTCACGAGTTATTTTCATGAACGTCCGCTAGTGGGTGACATTTTTAACTGGAATAGCCCTAACAAATGTCAGGAAAAGGTTAAATAAAAGTAAAAGTTGATCTAGTACTGCAGTGGATCAGGTGTAAAGTGGATTGTAATTAGAAACTAACTAACTTTCAAATCTGGAAATTTGATAGAACATATTTTAATATTGTCAATCCAGCTCAAATTCTGGAAATTATAACTGCTAATTTAAAAAAACAGGTTTGAACAATGCATAAAGTCCCATAAAACGGTGTAATACAGGTTTTCCCAGCATATCTTAAGTCAGTTTATGAATGGACTTCAAATTGTGTAGATTTTGCAAGGAGCTGGGATGTCCATGAAGTCCCATGCTTCAAACTAGGGTGTTTTTTTCCCCAAATTCATGATATTTTTCTAATTTGTGCCAAATGTTGATGATATTTCTGCTTTAGGGGCCCTTCCCCAAAATAGCTGGCAAACCCCTGCCAGCCTAATAATGCCTGTTGAGGGAGTCGAGACATAGAGTCACCAAGTCACTTGTCTAGTGTCTGTGGTGCTAATGTAACTCGGACATAAAAGCAGCATTTTGCCCTGGTCACTCTCGTCTTGACTGACCAGTTTCCTATTGGCTGGCTACAATTTATATTATCTCCTGATGTTCAGTTTGGTATGCCATGAATCGACCAGTGTGATACTGCTATTTATAATGAAGAATGCAAAAATGTGATTGTGTATACTATTAATTAACAAAATGTCCGGAAAAAGTTAAATAAAAGTAAAAGTTGACAGATCTAGTACTGCGATGGATCAAGTGTAAAGTGGATTGTAATTAGAAACTACCTGTCAAATCTGGTTTACTTATGGGTAGGGTAAATGTCTAATTGAACAAAATTTAATATTGTCAATCCTGTTAAAATTACTGGAAATTATTACTGCTAATTTTAAAAACGAGTTTGAACAATCCAGGTCAACATATTTTTTTACTTGCATATCAATTATGTATTATCAAGTTCATTTTCAACTTGCTAAATCATAAAGCACAGTCCAGTATGTAATCCGAGTTCCATGTTTTCTCGAGTATTGATGGAAATTTAATTGTTATGTGTCAGAATGTGGAGGATGGGGAAGAGACTGCAGTAACAGTTGAGTTAGTTTGACAGACCACCTGTTTGCTTTGGCACATGTATAGGAAACAAATTAATTAAGTAATGAATCGGGGAATGATGGTTGGGGACTGCTTTGAGTTGTAAACAGACTAGTAGCATGGCAATACTGAAGTGTCATCTGTATGTGATGCGACATCTGTCACTTTTGGTAATCAGATTTTATGTTTGAACAATCCCATTGTAGTTTAAACATGGGTAAGCAGGGCTGGATCTATTGCTATATGGAAGTCGATTGTATTCATTTTAAAATAAAATTACGAGGTGTTCAAACTTGCAAATTTGAATTCATCAGAGGTTTTCTTTTAGAAATTTTTAACAATTTGTAATCTGTGGAAGTAGTTGGGACATAAATATTTTCATTGACATTTGATCTAAAGTCAGCCATTGACAACCGTTTTGACCACAGGACAAAAGAGACTCTAGCCAGTGGTCACTTCATGAGCGTCATCAACATCCTGATGCAGCTTCGTAAGGTTTGCAACCATCCAAGCCTGTTTGACGAACGTCCGATTGTGTCTCCATTCCAAACTGGGGGCATCACTTTTAATACGTCCTCTTCTGTCCTGGCCATGTTGGAGTATGACCCCTTCAAAGTAAGACTTAGTAGACACTTTTTTCGCTTCTGTAGCATTCTTCAAAAATAGTTGTATGCAATAAATATATTTTAAAAATGTTATGGATGGTGCAAAGTAATACGAAAATAAAATGTAGAGTTATATGCAACACACTTTGTGGTTTGTCTAAGTTGTTGAGTCTTTGTGCCATTATTTTGTCATAATTTAAATACTAAACTTTTTTCTAAAAATTTCAGGTCCTTTACTTCTTTTCTTTGTCCATACATATAATTGGCAAAGAGGTATCAAACTTGGTTAGAAACATCAGTTGACATAAAGACAAGCACATTCTTTGAACATTATTGAATTTACAAACATAAATTCTAATAAAATGATGGTTTCTGTTCTTTTGAACCTTTTATAAATATTTGGTTTTTTTTGTGGTTTAGGACGTTGACTTGCTACGGTATCCAGGACTAGCAGACATGGAACAAGACTTGCCTGCGTTTGTGGCACATCGAGTAAAGCGTCTCCAAACATCTCGCCAACTCATAGAGGAGATTGATGAACAACCTGATCCTGCTCCTCGTCTTAAACCTGGCAAACTGAAACCAGTCAACTTCAGAAGCATATCTCCTCTGGTAAGTGTGGTAGCAATATAGCACCATACAATATGTGTTTTCCTTTATTTTGTCCTTTCAATAAAAAAAAACTAGGCAACACAAGATTTTGTTTCAAGAAGGCAAGAGCCAATGATTGCCTACACGTCTCCTGTTGCATTGTGGATTGAGCACACCTTGTACAGTAAAATATTCATGTCTGTATAAGATGCAGCAGACTGTCTTAACAGGAACCTCAAAATAATATCGGATAAAGAAATTTGTTAAAGCAAAATCAACCATTTTTATCCGTGGTAATTTTTAGTTAGGAAGGTATATTAGTGAGCTCTAATGTAACTATCCCAACAGTAATATTGTAGATGGATGTTAAACTAATTCTCAACTTAACTTAAAGTTGTATTGTAGAAATATAAATTGTGTCAACATATATTTAACTTTCTGATAACTGATAAAAGTGATCAAACAAGGGCTCTGGTCAGTTTTCAATTGAATTTGCAACATTTTAAGTCTTATTGAACATATGAACCTTTTGAAAGTGTAACCATAGACAGGTGTTGTAAGATTTTTTAGGTCACCTGAGACAAAGTCTCAAGTGACCTATTGCGATCGCCTTTTGTCCGTCGTCGTCCGTCGTGCGTCCGTAAACAATTTACATTTTCGACTTCTTCTCCAAAACCCCTGAACCAATTTCAATGAAATTTTGCAGGGACCTTCCAT